CTGGAGGAGACGCCAATCTCCATGGCACGGAGCTGCTAGATGGCCCTGCCATGCCGTGACCTGGGACCGAGCCACCAGCGTGTCCCCTCTCTGCCCTGAGCTGGGGGAGAAACCTGCCCCCCCGGCCAGGGAACGGGGGCCCAGAGGCATCTCCAGCCGTGGCACCGTGTGGGTGCTCCGCGTTGCAGCAGCCTGGGCCGTGGGAACGCTGGGTCCCGGGGGTGGCCGTGGGGCAGCCCTGGTAGCCGGGAGGTCACATGTGTCTCCGCTGTCTCCTTCCCTCTGCAGGTGCTTTTGGGTTATCCCAGCGTGACGTTTTCCCGCTGGTGAGGTGTTTGCCCTTGCGTGAAGGCAACAGGGTGGAGAAGGGATCTTTGTCCCCAGTCTGTGTGCAAGGCACTATGTGGAGTAGGAGGACCTGGCCTAGGGCTAGATGGCGGCTCTGCCCTGTAGCCTGGTCATAGTCACCCCATCCTTTGTGGGAGTGTGCATGGGACACGTGACTGCAGCGCTGGCACTGGGCAGCCCTGCTCCTTGCCATGCGGGGGCTGGCCCTGCCTTGTCCACCATGGAGCCACAGCGTCCCTGTCCTCAGGGGACTGCGCACCCCAGGGTGGGCTGAGCGCTGGCCATGGGGTGCCCAGGGGCCTGCAATGGAGCCACCAGGCTGGGATGCTGTGTGAAAAAAAAAAAAAAAAAAAAAAAAAAAAAAAAGCCCAGGAGCTAAATATAGCCCTTCTGGCTGGGTTGGGAGGCGAGCTGGCGGGACTCGGACGCCGGGACTCTCCGTCTGCGTTGGAGGCTGCGTGACCTTGGCTCGGTCCTTGGGTCGCTCCAGGCTCCCTGGGCACGGGCCGGGGGCGGCCCCTGCTCTCCGTCCTCTCCTGCCTGTGGCGGTGCTGCCCATGGAGCTGGTTGAGGGACTCGGTGCCGGGGGGTGAAGCTGAGAGCTGCCGCGTCCGGTTTTTCCCCAGGGCAGGGCTGAGGCAGGAGCCCCATGAGCCACAGCAGCAGCGCAGGTCTGGGGCACAGATCTGATCCCCGTGGGGAGACGAGCGCATGGGACGCGCAGGACACGACTGAGTCATCCCCATCTGGGATGTTTAGCCAGGGCCCAGTGTCCTGTCCCCGCCCCGGGGAACTGAGTGCCTTTTAATATCTGTGGCCCGTTTCCTTAGCAACTGCATTAAGCAAATCGATGGAGGTGGTGTCATTGGGATGGGAGGGCATGGCTCCTTGCCCCCCCTCTCCCGGTCCCCTCCGCTCGGCCTCCCTCTGCTCCGGCTTGCACACAGGCCCCGCTCCGGCTGGGCTGGCGGCCCCACGAGCTGCCTGCGACAGCCTCGCGCTGACCCCTTGCTCGTGCGCCAGCCTGCAGCCAAGTGAAGGGGTGACAGCCGATCCCCCGCCGGGGGACACCGGCAGGGCTCCCTGGGGATGTGCGGTCTGGCGGCTGCAGCGTTGGGGTGACAGGGTCCAGGGGTGGCGGGGAGGCAGCCAGGTGGATGCGGGGCCATGAGACACCCCCACCATGAACTTGGAAGGCCTCGAAATGATCGCGGTGCTGGTGGTCTTGGTCCTCTTCGTCAAGGTGCTGGAGCAGTTCGGCCTCTTCGAGCCCGTGTCCTTGGAAGGTAACAGGCGCGGGGGGGCTGGCTCCCACTGGGGGCACCCGTCACGTGGCCTTCGGCCTCATCCCCGTGGGCTGGCCAGGCCGGGCACCCTGGCATTGACCGCCAGGGTGCTGCATCCGCACAGGAGCAGGGACACCCGGGGACACGGACCCCACCTGCAGTGCTGGGGTGGCTGCTGGAGGCTGCCGAGCGCGGGGCGTGTGACGGGTGCTGTGGCCCAGGGTGAACACGTGTGCGCCGGGGTGGGGGGTTCTGGTGCTGCACCCCATGGTCGCGTTGTGCACAAGAGCTTTGCCCCCCACGCTGCCTCCCAAGGCAGTGTTGAAGCAGGGGCACATCCAGCAGGATTGTCCCCCATGGATCCTCAACTGTCACCCCACTCCAGGGCGCAGAGCCCCATTCTCAAGGCAGGGAAGGAGCTTTGCTTCCCCAGGCCTTGCTGGCTGGGGGGTGCAGGGTCAGACCCAGAGGGGTTTACCCCCACCATAGTCCCAGGTGATCCCGTTTGGCATTAATTGCTCCCATCGCCACCCAGGTGCATGCAGGAGAAGGAAATGCATTTGAGGGGGAGAAGCTGCAGCTAAGGCTGATGGAAGGTAGAGGGCTGGGGTAGGATTGTGCTCTTGGGTGCTGAGCTCAGCTCCAGGCCAGCGTGGAAAGGAGAAGGTGGCAGGTAGGAGACTTTGCTCTCCCTGGGGTAACATCTGTGTGGTGTGAGGCCCAGCTGGGGCATGAGGAGGGAGCATCCCCCTTCCTTGGGGTTGTGGCTGAGCCTTCTTTGGTCCTGGGGGGAAAGACTGAGTGGCTGCTGTGTCCCCTATGTTATTTGCTGGCTGTCCCTGGGCCCTTTGTGGCAATCCAGGGACTGCAAAGAGCCTGAAACCCTACACTAATGGCTTGGGTCTGCTAATGGCCTAAGCGGGGCTCTGCCATCTGCTCTGGAGCCATTGATACCTTCCCCTTGTGTGGGGGACTACCCCCCCATGGCACTTTGGGGATGTTGCACCTTCTGTGGTGACTGGGGTGTGTTCTCCTGCCATGTCCTGCTTGGTTCTGCCTCATGGCCGGGTCTTGTGAGCTCCTCTCTGCCCTGTTCCTGTTTCCTCTTTCACTTGCTGCCCGGTCCCAGCTCAGAGGCAGCTGCCACGTGCTCTGGGTGCTGCAGGGACATGCAAGGTAGTGGTATGGGTCACCGTTCTTGCATGGCCCCAGCGGTCCCCCTGCCACCTCCAGCTTTGTGCCACATGCTGATGGTTTTGGGTGGTGGGGGCAGGTTGTGCAGTGGCTCTGCTGCTCTCCCGAGGGGTTCCTGGCCCTTCTGGATACTCTGGGTGTGCTGGGATGTGTGGTGGGCCTTACCCACAGAGCAAGGCAAGAATGTCCTGCTCTCTACACTGTCCCCATGGCTCCCCTCTGTGTGGTTGTGTCTTGGTCCAGGCTGATATTTGTGCTGGGAGGAGCAGTGGCTCTGTGATGGGGGAAGAAACTTCTCCAGAGGAGATAAGGAGACCTGCAAAATGTCCCTGGCCTGGGGGAACATCTTGCAAGGAGATTTTCACTTGCCACCCTCCAGCCTTGGAGAGCTCCCAAACTCATTTGGATGAAGCTGAGAACAACGTGGCCCCAGTGTCAGCTGGCCTTGCTTTGGGCAAGGCCTTGCACAGGAGACCTGGCTTGTCTGTACCTCATTTCCAAAATCCCAGCCTTGGCAGCATGTTTAGAGCTTGCCTGGAGGCAGGTTGTCTCTGTCTCCCTGGTGCACGGTGCTCCACGAGCCTGGGTGAGCAATGCTGAGCTGGTGTTGTTTAGCAGCTGGTTAACAGCTATGGCTGGTGTCACCTGCACTTCTGCCCTGGGACACCAACATTACCTCTGCCTGTCCCAGCCCCAAATCTTCCCTGGTAAAGCTGCCCTTGAGCTGCTGAGGGTCTCGTGTGCTGCCTGCTCCCGCCCCAAGCTGAGATTCTGCTTGGGCCAAGCATTTAGGAGGGACGGGGGAGGAGGAGGTGAAGGAAAACGCTATTGATTTTGGCTCCTGAAGTGCAGCATCAATAATTCAGCAAGGAGCAATTGGTCCTGGCTGGGAGGAGGGAGGGATGGGCCGGCGGCTGGGAGGAGATGAAAGGCTGGGAGAACCGCCTGCACACCCGGATCTCAGATGAATATTGGATGAAGCTGCAGATCGTAATCGGTGGGATGATTTGTGCCTGCCCAGGGCTGGCAGGGCTCCTGCTGCCTGGGCCCATCTGTGGTGTGGGGTTGTTGAGCAGCACCCCTGGCCTGGGGTGCCCCTGCTTTTCCCGGGTGCTGGGGTTCGGAGGCAGAAGGACAAGACAGGGAGACTACCAAGCCCTTCCCAAAGTCTGGGGGCATGTGGTCTCCTTGAGGAGACATGGGAAGCATGTGCCACCCCAAAGGATGAGCAGGAGGGACATGAAGCGGCTGCTTCCTGGTGCAAAGGACAACGCAGAGGCCTGAGGGTCTGCAAAGCCTCAAGCATCCCCATCGTGCTGGCAAGAGCAGAGCTCCGAGCCAAGTCCTGCTTTCCTCCTGCTTTCAAGGAAAGCCTTTGGCAGCAGCGCAGTGTCTTGGCTGCGGGAAGGACCTGCTCTTTGGGGCATGGAGCCAGGGGTCAGGGCATCCATCCTGGCAGGCTCGACAGCCCTGAGAGGTCAATGCAAGCTGGCTGCAGGTAGGGCACTGAAATGCTGCCCAAAAAAGACAAGCTATGTGTTTAAAAAAGATGTGGTGATGCTGGGGGGGGAAGGGAGTTCCACCCTGATGCTGGTTCCCTGCCCCTTCCCTGCTGTGAGTTGGGGCAGGCTGGGGTGGCTGTCCCCAGCGTGTGTCCCTGAGCAGTGCGGGGCTTCACTCTGCTGCTGCTCTGTGTCACGTCCCGCTCAGCCCAGCCAGGTATAATTAGCTTGTTGAACCTCTTCTGCCTCCGGCCTTGTGTTAATCACTTTTCACACTGCTTCCCTCCCAATTCCCTCCGGCCTGGCTCTGTGTCTCCGCCACTGGCGTGCCCAGAGTGGGAGCGAGGGGATGTGGCTGGAGAAGGAGCTGGTGGCCATGCTCTGCTGCAGCCTGCCCTGGAAATGACGACTCTGTGAGGAGCTGGGCAAATGGCAGGCTAGACATTGAGCATCGAATCTCCTGGAGAGTGAAGGAGCCCATGGACAGCCCTCCTTGCAGTTTGGCTCTGTCCCAGCTGGCTACCATGGGGCTGTGTACAGGGCTTGCTGCCTGCGCTCTGCTGCAGCCTGCCCTGGAAATGATGACTCTGTGAGGAGCTGGGCAAATGGCAGGCTAGACATTGAGCATTGAATCTCCTGGAGAGTGAAAGAGCCCATGGGACAACCCTCCTTGCAGTTTGGCTCTGTCCTGGCTGTGTACAGGGCTTGCTGCCCAGCAAGCCTGGGTTGCCACAATGCTCTGGGTCTCTGCAAAGCAAGAAGGGCCAGGGCAAAGCCCCTAGGTCAAGTCTGGGGGAAGATTGGTTTGGAAATGAGTGGGGGTTTTCCAGCATGGAGTTGTGCTGGGCTCAGCCGCACAGGAGGCGGGAGG